GGCCCAGGTAACCTGACACAAGAACCAGCTCAACTCCCATTCAAGACTCCTTCCACACCTGGCACCGTCATGTGTTCCACAGGCCTCCCGCCTGAGCCCCTAAAGCTCTTTCATCCTCTACTCTGAGCCCTATTTCCAGGACTGTTTCTCCTCCAATTTGCTCATCCTGCTGTGCGTCTGCATGTGTGGTGGCACCATGCATCTCAGCACCACCCTTGCCCCTGCCGATCTTTACATGAATCTCACCAAGATTCAGCCAGGCTGAAGGCCAGGTTACCTGGGAGACGCTGGGCGTGCTGTTCTGTGTACCTCACTGCAGGCATCAAGCCTTGATGTCTCCTGAGAAAGTGGACTTGGATACCAGAATGGGCAAAAGACAGGCTCAGGGCAACACACACACACACACACACACACATATATTTTACCTGAATCCGCTTTAAGACCAAAAGGGTCTGTGGAGGAAAGATGCTCATGGGTGTTTCTCAGCCCTTCTGGTGGGCCTTTTCCCCCTTGCAGGAAGTGTCCCGGTTCTCTCCTTAAAGTACTCTTGCATGTTTTGCCTCTTCTGCTCTGAAATCCTGCTATCAAGGCAGGTTAGGAAATGGATGAGGAGTGGCCAAACCCAGAGCAGGAAGACCAGTTAGGAGGTGGTTGCAGAACCCAGGCAACAGGAGATGGCAGCCTGTATTAGGGAACCAGTGGGATTTGAGAGAACTCGTTCACTCTGTCCTAAGCTTTTTATGAGCTGGTTGAGCTCGGGTAAACTACTCAGTCTTTCTGAGCGGCAAACCCCTCACCGATTAAACAGAGATGATAATTATCTCTTACAGCATTGTTACATGAGTAAATATTGTGGCATAAAAGCCTTTTATAAACTATAGTGTGCAAAAATGTGGTCTCTTGTGGTGATCATTTGCAGTTTGGTGCCTTGTCCCCAGACCTGTTCCCGGTGGCGTTTGCCTTGCTCATCAGAACCCTTCCATCAGTCCCGTTTTGTGCAGCACACTCAGTCTCTCTCTCAAACCGTGAGAAATTATGTGATTTGAGGCTGGGCTGGTTTTTATCTTATAGCCTGGAACCCTAGCTTAAAAATAATACACTCCAATACCTGTCCCCTCCCTTCTTAGGTAACAAATGCTTAAGTACCAACCAGGTTTTGGGTAAAGAATCCACAGAGCCAACATGCGCCAACTGTTTTGAGACAAACCAGTTTGAAGTCTGTGACGCATGTTTTCATATTTACAAAACTTGGTTGCAAATCACTGACTGGTGGGGTTGGAAGGACCTTAAAGATCATCTGCTCCAGCTCACTCACTTTTCAACTGGGGAGACTGAGCAACATGGAAGGAAAGGATCTTGCCTGAGGTTATGGATTTAACTAGAAACAGAGCAGGAATAAATCTCCCCCCTCCTCAGTTATGTCATGGAATCTTTCAGGAAACATGTTAAATTTGTGTCCTTTCTTTCATTACCCAGTCTTATAATGAAGGTACTACATGGCCCATTTCACCCCAACCCCAAAACAGAAGGAGCGGAGGTGGGGAGGGCACCAGTTCACTTATCAAACATAACAAAGTGCCACCTCCGTGCCAAGTCCTGGGATGCTGAGACAAAGACACGGCCTAGCCTTCTCGCTGTTCAGAATTTAGTGATGAAGACAGACAAGGAGACAATCTCTAGGAGGGCAGGCTGTTTTCCATACAGTTACACGAACCATTCCTCCCGTCTGCTGTCTGCACTTCATACTTACGACTGCACTGACTCTCTCCATATGTGGATTATTAAGAGAGTGATTTTCCCGGAAAGAAACACACCACATCCCATAACTTGATGAAAACCAGTGAGTACCTACTGCATAGTGGCTCAGTTCCCCTCATTCATTCATTCCCTCGAGCAATATTTGTTGCGCATCCAGGATGAGGTACCAGGATACAAAAAAAAAAAATAGAAGCAGTCATCTCAAGCAACTAACAGTTCCAGAGAAGAACACATAATGATCATAGAAGGCTTTGTAAGGGAAGGGAGATAGATGCCTAGGACGTCAGCCTTGGAAAGTCTGCAACAATTTCACAGAGCAGAGGGCATGTGAGCTGAGACTACTTGAAGAAGGAGAAGATGTCTGCTGAGCAGACAAAGGGGATGACATTCCAGAAACAGCACGTGCAAAGCATGAATGTGTAGAAGCATGCAAGCCCTGGGACCTGTAGCAGTTGATTGTTGCTGGCGTGTGAAGTGAAAAGACAGATTGGCAGAGAATGAGGGCATGAGTAGGCAGGGCGGTGCCATGCTAGGGAGATGGGGCTACATCCTGTAGACAGTGGAGAGCTCTTGAGGGTTTTAGGGAGAGGATCAGGTGGTGAGATGGTGAATTTCAGAAATCCATTTAAGCACCATGCAGGAAGTGGGTTAGAGTCGGAGAGCCCAATGAAGGTTATTAATCCAGGCAAAACCTGATGAGGGCAGTGGCAGTGCCAATCTGAGCCAGGCCAGAACTTGATTTTCTACATGATTCATTCATTTCCAGGCATACCTGAGTGATGGTGCTGACCATGACCTGTAGCCAAAAAGCATGAACTTATGCATTTGCGTCTCCAAAACTGTGATTCATGGTCCTGACAACATTTCCCATTGTGCGTAAGAGACCGTCGTTTCCCCGGTTACCTGAACGGTTTAAGGCATTACAATGACCCAAGGAGAATCCAAGCTTCCTTGCTTAAAAGAGAAGCTGACAGATTGTTGACCTTCAAAGGCACTTGGAGGAAGTGGTTTTTAATAACCCTTAATCCATTTTCCCATCACTCATACAAACTCACTTCTGAGCTTGTGGTTTTGGTAAATCTAACAGTCTTTTCCAAACAACAGCCTGACAAAGTGATCCCTCTGTCATCCCTTTTAGCCTCTCAAGCCTTCCAGGTTTTGCTCCTCATGTTCTTTCTCCTGAAGTGCCTTCCAGTCACCTGTCTGTCTGTAATTTTGCACCAGCACCTTGCAGATCCAGATTCAAAGTCTAGCTCTGCCACTTGTTAGCTGTATGATCCAGCACAGGAGAGCTGCTGAGTTTGTCACAGGGTTGGAGATCGAGTTTGTGATGTGTTCAGCATAGCACCACCCCACAGCCACTCTCAGGGTTCAGTAGATACTATTGTTAAGTGAGGTTCTAGCTCAATAATGAAAACTTGTAATTCTCTACTGAAAAGAATAAAGAGAAGTACTGAAAGGTTTGGTAACACACCTTTTGAATATCAGAATAACCATGAATTATAGTTTTCCTGCCCAGATTAATTAAACCTGACACCTGAGTACCCACTTGATTTCCACATCCAACTGTGGAATCCCACAGTAACTTATAATTAAGAGACAGTTGCTAATAAGAGACTTGGAACTTGAAATTAAGAGCAAAAAATAAGTAGAGAAGCTTCATGGGAAGGGGCACAGTTGTTGATCTTCGGGTCCTTTCCTCAGACAGAAGAGTTTGGAGACAAATGGCCCTCTTAACAGCATCTTCTCGCTGTGTTCTGTGTTTCCAAGGAAGACGCTTTCTCTGGAAGCAGTTTGAGTGGTTTGGTTTCATTACAGGGAAAGAATTGTTCAGTGTTAGGGCAGGTTACTGACAGTGGGTGTGGAATCTGTTTTAGAAGAAGATAAAAAAGTATTATGACAACGAGGTATGTGGTAAGATTACCCCTCCGGGCTTTTTCAAGTATACACCTGCCAAGAGCCTGGTAGAGAATTTGTTTCAAGCACATTGAAGGATTATATCCACTTGGGTAAATTCTGCAAAACATAACTCAGTCTCCTCTAACAGGACTATGAAGATCTTGGGACATTTCTTCTTATTCTGTTGATCCCCCAGATTTTCAAGTCTAACTTGACTTTTTTAAATCACTCTGTGGTTAATTTTTCTTTCTTTTTCGTTTCTTTTTTGTTACAAAACAACAACATTCAAGGGACATTTTTAAAAATCATCCTTGATTTTCCTGCACTGACAACAACGATTTTAATTTTGGAGTATTTTTTGGTCTTTGTTTACCTACTTACTTCTTAACTAGTCATCACAATAAATCTGAAAGAGTTTTATTATTATGTGAGCTTTATTGAGCAAGAAATTAAAGATAAAGCAGTTAATTAATATTACCCTAAGTAACATATATAGTAAATGGCCAAATCAGGAGTGAAAAGCAGGGATAACTAAACCTATGCTGGGTCCACCTACACTCAGCTGTGATGCTGGCCACACAAGCTGACACATAATCTATACGGGAAACATTATTTTATGCACTATTATTTTTACTTAGGAGCAGTGATAATAAAAAAATGGAATTATGTCAACTGAATCATATCACTAACCAATCTTTCCAAAAAGCCACCCAGAGTTCGTCAACACTCAAGGCAATGTCATAGGAAGTCTCTGAAGGTGAGAAGAGAAATAGAGAATTAATGTGACTGATAAAAATGAGCTGTTTCCTTTTGAAAAAGAAAAAAAAAGAGCAGAAACTTTAGAACAACTGAGATTCCCTACGCATTGCTAATCAGATTTTCGAAGCCACTTTTTGATCATTTACCCCTAAAGCCCTTCTACTGTTCTTGCCAATAATCACACTTAATATTCCTGCAAACTAAATGTAGAATTAGGCACTTGCACAGTAAGTGCTAATAAGTTGTAGTTCATAAAAGGAGGGTATAAACAGTTTCCATATACTTTACATGAATGGTATAAAAAGGGATGGTTGCCTTTCCATTTGGGAGTCAATGCCATGTAAAAGATGACACTTGATAAAGGGAGAATGACCTCTACAGCCTTTTGAACTGGGAGAAGAGTCTTTTTCACTCATCACTTTTCTAGAATACCAAACAGAAGGAATCAGACTTGGGGAGACTTTGATCAGACACACTGGAGGGACTTCCAACCAAGAGAGTGCCCGGAACTCTAGCTTGGCTTCTAATCAAGCTTGAAATGATCACAGCCACAGCGCTAATTGCATTAATTTGCTTTTCTTCAGGCAGAATGGGGAAGCAGAATAGCAAACTGGCCCCTGAAGTGATGGAGGACCTGGTGAAGAGCACAGAATTTAATGAGCATGAACTCAAGCAGTGGTACAAAGGCTTTCTCAAGGACTGTCCAAGTGGGAGGCTGAATCTCGAGGAATTTCAGCAACTCTACGTGAAGGTAAGTTGTTTTTCAACCTCTTTTTTTTTTTTTTCCTTCAGGCTGGAAAATGTTGTCTTCATCAAATGTAGCTTCACATAGTTATAACTTGAAATAGCCAATTGGTTTCAACTCTGGTGGTTTTCCATCCAAAAAGAAAAACGATCATTGTGAAAAATGCAAAGGGATGTGTTTTGTTCCACAGATAAGTCAAGCAGTTTCTGAACAAGAAGAGTAATTGTCTAATCAAAACACTAAATAGAGTTCAGAGGATGACAGCACCTGGTAAAGAACAGGAAAAATCTCAGATAATAGTGTTTGCTGATGACTGTTGACAAACTGCTAATTGCCTCCATTGTTTGGCTTGTTAAAGGGATCTGGACCTCTCTCAGTTAAAAAGAAAGTTCATGGGGTGGGGGGTGCTTTTTCACCAAGAAAGGTCCCATTATTTGCAAATCAGAAAAAGATACAGATCCCCACAGCTTTGCATTTAGAGGGAAGTACAGAGCTCTGATACACATCCAGGTATACCAGGATGGTCTTCTAGCATTTTATCAAGGTCTAAAATGTGGGCTGTTAACTCAGCATTTTGTACTGTTTCGGTATTAATATTCCCTTGGACGTTAGATAGAACTGTTCCGGGGAAGGTATAATTTGCACTGCAGTGGTATTGTTTCAGTTTGTCTGAGTTTATCTGTTGTACTGTTTCTGGATTTGGCATGATCTAAGACATTCCATTTTGTTCGTGTGTCTATAACGTGAGGCTTGTGAAAGAAAGGCGTTGTTTTAACTTTTTCTGACTAGAATGCCAAATATAAAATCGTGCTGTTATCATTTAAGTGCAGCTAATGTCAGTTTGAGCCAGATGAACCATCCACTTGCATACATGTGTATGGGGTGATTGTGTAAAATATTAAACATTGCCATTCTCTCCTGAAGTTGAACATTTCACATAGCCTTTGCTCCAGCAATTCTAATCCTTGCAAATATACAAGAAGGGACATGTGTAAGGCTCATAGCTGCACTGTTCACAATAGCAAAACTGGGAAACAACCCAGATGCCCATCAAAGGGAGCGTGGAAAATAAATGGTGATAGACTCACACAGCAGCCAAAACAGTTGAACTGCAGCAACGCTGAAATATTAAGTGCAAAAAGTAGTCTCAGAATACTCTAAATTCAAATAAGATAAAAATAGGTTTTATAAGACTACAAACAAATGCAATATAAATCATATAAAAAAGAAAGCAAGACAGTGATGAACACAGGATTCAAAATGATGGTTACATCTAGTGTGTAAGAGGCAAGGGATGGGATAGGAGGGCGGCCACATGGCTAGATACAGATTGTGTCAAACTCATAGCCATAGCTTCGGGCAGTGGGTTCGCAAGTGCTTATTGCATTAATAAAAGTTCACTAACCCAGCATGGACCACAAATGGGTGTCAGGGACATGTGTTTATCATTAATCCAATTCTGACCACCTGAACACTCAAGGTGTTCTCAAAATTCTCTCTTTTCAGTCTGTGTAGATATGTACACGTGTAGTGGCATGTGTGCATCTTATAAGATCACTGTGACATTTCTAAGATCTGAGTATTTCGTTTTTAGTATATGGAGATCTTCTATATGGAAGCACTGAGAAGTGCATTTATTATTCAATTGACATAAGTTGCTTTTGCAGAGAAGTGGGATGGGGTGCGTTTTCCTAGGTTATTGTACTACTCTCCGTAGTTTTCAAAGTCACATCTTCTACCATTTTATCACCCAGGAGTTAGCCTGTGTCTCAGAACTGTCTTCCCTCTCAGCCCCAAGGAAAGTACAGACAAATGAGATTTGTCAAAGCCACTTCCGTATCAGTAAAGGTCACGCAAGCTGTCACTCTGTGTTTAAGAGAGCTCTGTGTGCCATGTTTCTCACTATTTGCTTAAAGTGAGAGTGGTGTTGCCTTTGAAGGAATAGTTGAAATGCAGGAAATGAAGTCGTTTATTTACATGCTGGAAGTACTCAGCCCTGAAAAAAAAAAATCCACCTCAAGAGGGAGGAGAGGGTACATAAACATTAAACACCCCTCGGTATTTTATAGTGCAAGTCATCTTCAGGTACCAATATCACTCCCAACTTCTACCCTACCTACTCCAGCCCAGAGTGAATTCTTTTCCAGGAAGCGGATATATGACTTTGTAGGTGGAGTTTAGATTCTTGGCAGCCTCTTAAAGCCATATTCAGACTCAGCCTCTGTTCTTGTATCAAATAGCAAGCAAGCAAAGTCGTCTTCTCCTTCCAGAGTTGTCCAAGGACATAATATAAAGGAGAGTCACAGATGAAATATGCCACATACACAAGGAAAAAAAAAACACAGGTCTGATGGGCTGGAAGGGAGAATAGCAGAGAAAGACGTGAATTATGTAATAAGGCCCAAGAGAAGGGCTGAGAAGAAAAAAAGTCCTTTAATGCTGTTTAAAAGTACAAGTATTCAGCAAGACAGTCTTTATGTTGGTGAATAGGCACTTTTCTAGTTCCTTCTATCTCAGTGTGGACATTGAGACCTCCTGGAATCCAGCTGAGTGAGCAAAGCCATTGGGGGCCTCTGCCCTCCTATCTGTGTGGTCTGCTGGCATGTCCACGCATCGGCTGTCACAGATCTGACACATTTTAGCCTCCAGGAGCGTCACCTCACTGCTGTGGAGTCAATGCTGATGAGGGTGTGAAGAGGGGAGGAGAATGGGCGAGGCCCTCCTGCAAGGCCAGGAGCCTTTGTATCCAGAATCTAAAGGAATTCCATTAGGTCTATGTTTTAACGCCGTCTAAAACCGAGGTTCAGAAAAATGAGTCAGTTCGCCCATGTTGTCACAAAAAGAGTGGAGGCAGGATGGACGTGAGAGATGGGGATGCTGACCTGCCCTGCAGCACACAGCCCTGCCTCGCGACTGGATTCCCGTGGCAGCTCCTCATCCGCCCTGTCCGCAGCCCCTCCTTCATGCAGTTGCTGGAGTGGGATTTGGATAACACGGGTCTGGACATGGTTTTTGCTAGTTTGATGCAGGTGTTACCCAGCCAGGCTCATTTGCCCAACACTCAGCAAGCCAAATGCCAAGGTGCCAAGGTTTGTAGTAGAGAAAGAGCTTATTCACACGGCAGCCAAGTGAGGAGGACGAGCCTCAGACCCGCCTCCCGCAGGCAAGGGGCTTGAGACATTTATGGGCTAAAGAAGCAAGGTGATCCTGGGCATGGGGAAAGGTGATTGGCGGCAGGGAAAAGGTGAGGGCATCACTGTTCTGCACAGACGCGTCTGGGTTACATGCTGCTTCGTGAGATGCACGTTCAAAAATGGAGATATTTAGCATGATCTGAGGGTGGAAGTTTTGGCCCTCTGACATCAAAAGGTTATTTATTAGACAACTGCTGATCCAGTTTTAGGGTCATTGGTCCCAACCAGCGTTAGCCAGCTTGAACTGGAGAGGAGCTGACTCCAAGTTTCTGGAAAACAACTTAAGTGCCCGTTGCTATGGTGACCCATACGTCACAGGCGTTATCTATAGGGTTGGCTAAGAAGTCTTGTGATGTATTACCTAGCTATGTGAAGCTTGAGGGATATGCAATTAAAGAAGGGGAAAAAATAGCTAAAAGAAGCTTAATCAGTAAAGGCAGGTTACAAGCAGAGGGGTTTTTAACAAGCTGTTTCCTTATCTGCTGTTCTGTAAGTAAAGGATTTCTGTTAAGAGGCCGGCTTCCGTTAACCCTGTGGGGCCCCAGTTCACAGGTTTCATTCTTGGTCAGATAGACAGCAGTCACCTCCTTACAATCAGGGTGGGACCCAGTGGTGAGTGGAGGGCCTGCCACAGAGCAAGCACCAGTGTTTGGTGAGTGAATTGTATTAAATGCCAGCTGTGTGTCTCCTTCTCCGGTCCTGCCAGCTCTCCAGAATCTCACAGGCTGATCGGAAAGACACAGTTAACCACAGCACAAGGCAGAATGACCTAAATGCTTGCTGGTGGGGCAAGAGTGGAAAGGAGAGGTTAATTTCAAAATGGGATATAAAATAATGAGTTAATTAACGCAGTGATGAAAGGAGGAGGATTTTTCTCCTAGCCTTTCAGAAGATAAAATGTCTCTGAATAGATAAGTTTTACATTTCACAAGCTTGGTACCTGTGATAGGCTGAACTGTGTCCCCGCAAAATTCACAGGTGGATGTTTTCATCTCCAGTATGTCAGTATGTGACTGTATCTGTAGAGAGGGACTTTAAAGAGGTAATTAAGTTAAAATGAGGTCATTAGGGCAGGCACTAGTCCAGTATGACAGGTGTCCTATAAAAAGAGGCAGTTAGGATTCAGATGTGAACAGAAGAAAGATCACATGAAGATACAGGGCAGTGGTGGTCATCTACAAACCAAAGAGTGCTTTTCAGAAGAAAGAGTCTTAGCAACACCTTGATCTTGGACTTCCCCCCTCCAGACCTGTGAGGAAATACACGTTTATTGTTTAAGCCACCCAGTCTGTGGCCCTTGCTATGGCAGCCCTAACAAATTAGAACAGTGCCCGTTCCTTCTCTGCTCTGAACTTCTCGCGTGCACACGCAGCGCCTTCTGTATCTGATGCAAGGACGCCTTCTGTCAGGGGTGCTCTGCCCCATCTGGCACACACAGGGGTGTCCGCACCCCTGCAGATGTCTCACCATCCAGACCACAGCACTGCTGCTGAGAGGCTGAGGAGAGAGATTTTGCATTCTGTCACCAAGAACCAAGAACCTGACATCTCCCCCATGAGAACTTCCTGTTTCCAACCATCAGAGCGACTGCTAAGTGAAGATCACAAACTAAGGTTGAGAGTTTGCAGTCTGAACTGTACTTTTAGAGAATTTTAAATGTAATTTTAAAAGAAAACCAACCCCGGGGAAAAGCAAGCAACTGCAGGAGGGAGGAGGTGTCCCTGTCCCAGGTCCTCTTCTTGGACGGGTGATACCACTCCCGTGTCATTTAGTGCCTATGACATCAAAGCCAAAGAAATCAAGTAACAAACC